AGCTAAGCTAAAGTCCATTCAAAAACAGGCCTTCTCAGAATGCTTCTAATAATTGCAGCACGATTAGGTGAGTGTGTGAAGTCCCAAGGGAACTACTTTGAGGGGGATCAGCTTTTGAATGCTCCAATTAGGCCAGTTTTTTTTTTTTCTTCCACCAAAGGTCGGATACTTTTCTAACATACTTCGTATGTGCATTTTTCTTTATAATACAGGATATATAGTATTTGATTTGGAGTCCAAATTATTCGATGAAAATCACTATTCCCGTCTAACCCGAAATTCACTATTCACACAAGCCTAATTGAAACACGAGTTCGAGGAATAACATCATCATTTGCAGCCGCCAATGTTGTAGAAATGAGTGGAGAGACATCTAAAGCAGAAAGACATGCACAGCTTTTTTGGTAGTCCATCTCTCTATGAATGTTCTGGCCCCACAAAATTTCTTTTACTTGAACCCTTAGTGGGAAGAGTTTGGTAAATGTGGAAGAACACAATAAAAGATGGAAAAGCCAAGTTTAGGGTATGCGAGGCCGAGCCAAGCACAGACCATGCAGTCAGAGTTTTGTGTGATCTTTCCTCAAGTGCCACAGTGTATGATCCAACACTGATCATCATCATCATCATCATCATCATCAGCCTGACTACGTCCACTGCAGGACAAAGGCCTCTCCCATGTTCTGCCAGTTAACCCGGTTCTGTGCTTGCTGCTGCCAATTTATACACGCAAACTTCTTAATCTCATCTGCCCACCTAACCTTCTGTCTCCCCCTTACCCGCTTGCCTTCTCTGGGAATCCAGTTAGTTACCCTTAACGACCAGCGGTTATCCTGTCTACGCGCTACATGCCCGACCCATGTCCATTTCTTCTTCTTAATTTCAGCTATGATGCCCTTAACCCCCGTTTGTTTCCTAATCCACTCTGCTCTCTTCTTGTCTCTTAAGGTTACACCTACCATTTTTCTTTCCATTGCTCGCTGCGTTGTCCTCAATTTAAGCTGAACCCTCTTTGTAAGTCTCCACGTTACTGCTCCGTAGCTAAGTACCGGCAAGATACAGCTGTTATATACCTTTCTCTTGAGGGATAGTGGCAATCTACCTGTCATAATTTGAGAGTGCTTGCCAAATGTGCTCCACCCCATTCTTATTCTTCTAGTTACTTCGATCTCGTGGTTCGGCTTCGCGGTTATTACCTGCCCTAAGTAGACATAGTCTTTTACAACTTGAAGTGCACTATTACCTATCTCGAAGTGCTGCTCTTTTCCGAGGTTGTTGTACATTACTTTCGTTTTCTGCAGATTCACTTTAAGACCCACCTTTCTCCTCTCCTAGTCTAACTCCGTAATCTTGAGTTGCAATTCGTCCCCTGAGTTGTCACTCAGCAGTGCAATGTCATCAGCGAAGCGCAGGTTACTAAGGTACTCTCCATTAACTCTTATACCTAACTGTTTCCATTCTAGGCTTCTGAAAACCTCCTGTAAGCACGCAGTAAATAGCATTGGGGAGATTATGTCCCCCTGCCTTACACCCTTCTTGATTGGTATTCTGTTGCTTTCTTTATGAAGCACTATGGTAGCAGTTGATCCCCTGTAGATTTCTTCCAGGATGTTTATATATACTTCATCGACGCCCTGATTCCGCACTGTCTGCATGACGGCTGATATTTCTACTGAATCAAACGCCTTCTTGTAATCTATGAAGGCTATGTATAGCGGTTGGTTATATTCTGAGCATTTCTCTATTACCTGATTGTTAGTATGAATGTGGTCGATTGTTGAGTAGCCTATTCGACATCCTGCTTCTTCCTTTGGTTGATTGAATTCTGATGTTTTCTTTACTCTGTTAGCAATTACCTTTGCAAATAGCTTGTATACTACAGAGAGCAAGCTGATCGGCCTGAAATTCGTCAAGTCCTTGTCATCTCCTTTCCTATGTATTAAGATAATGTTAGCGTTCTTCCAAGACTCTGGTACTCTACCCGTCAGGAGACACCTCGTAAGCAGGATGGCTAGTTTTTTTAACACAATCTGTCCTCCATCTTTCAGCAGATCTGATGTTACCTGATCCTCACCAGCAGCTTTGCCTCTTTGCATGCTCTCCAAAGCTTTTTTGACTTCTTCTATCAGTACTGGTGGGGTGTCATCTGGGTTACTGCTAGTTCTTATAGTATTAAAGTCGTGGCTGTCCCGGCTACTGTACAGATCTCTGTAAAACTCCTTCGCTATTTTAACTATCCTATCCATATTGGTAGTTATTTTGCCTTCTTTGTTCCTTAGTGCATACATCCGATTTTTGCCTATCCCAAGTTTCCTCTTCACTGCTTTGACGCTTCCTCCGTTTTTCAGAGCGTGTTCAATTCTCTCCATGTTATACCTTATTACGTGGGATACCTTACGCCTATTAATCAACTTCGAAAGCTCTGCCAGTTCTATTTTGTCTGTTGTACTTGATACTTTCATGATTTGACGCTTCTTAATGAGATTCTTCGTTTCCTGGGAAAGCTTGCCAGTGTCCTGTCTAACTACCCTTCCTCCAACTTCTACTGCACACTCCGTAATGATACTCGTCAGATTATCATTCATTGTATCTATGCTAAGGTTGGTTTCCTCACTAAGAGCAGAGTACCTGTTCTGAAGCGAGACTCTGAATTCCTGTACTTTCCCTCTCAGTGCTAGCTCATTGATTGGCTTCTTGCGTATCAGTTTCTGTCGTTCCTTTCTCAAGTCTAGGCGAATTCGAGACCGTGCAATTCTATGGTCACTGCATCGTACCTTGCCAACCACTTCCACATCCTGCACTATGCTTGGGTGTGCACTCATTATAAAGTCTATTTCATTCTTATTTTTGCCATTAGGGCTTCTCCATGTCCACATGCGGTTTCCTCGTTTTCGGTAGAAGGTATTCAAAATCCGTAAATTATTGCGTTCTGCGAATTCTACTAGTAGCTCTCTTTTGGCGTTTCCAGTACCGATGCCATAATCTTCTACTGCCTGGTCTCCAGCCTGCTTCCTCGCTACCTTTGCATTAAAGTCTCCCATCAGTATTGTATACTGTGTTTTTACCTTACTCATTGCCAATTCAACGGCTTCCTAGAAGCTTTCAACCAAAGCGTCATCATGGCTGGATGTAGGCGCGTAAGCCTGTGCCACCTTCATCTTGTATCTCTTATTCAGTTTAATTATAATACCTACCACCCTTTCATTAATGCTATAGTATTCCTCTATGTTGCCAGCTATGTTTCTGTGAATTAGGAACCCCACTCCCAGTTCTCTTCTGTCAGCCAAGCCTCGATAGCAAAGGACTTGCCCATTCTGTAGCACCGTATAGGCCTCATCTGTCCTCCTAACCTCACTGAGCCCTATTATATCCCATTTATTGGACCTGGTACCAACACTGATCAACTTAAAAAAAATTATTTTATGTCTACCCCAGCCCTTTTCATTGAAATAGCACTGCTATTTCAATGAAAGTAGTATTTTGAACCACCCTGCTGAGTAAAGAATGATAGTCTATATTAGCATTTGCTGCACTTGTCAACTCATTTCACAGACTCTGCAAATTTAAATATGGATCAGCCAAGCTCGCCACCCTCAAATTTTGGAGAGTCATAAAACTGAGGAGTAGGGATAGTGAAAAAAAAAAAAAAAAACTGGCGTACAATATATATTGTTTTTTTAGGGAAGCAGAAATGTCATACAATGCTTCAAATTATTGCCAGTAGCTTAATTAGACATCAGTGATCATACTAGTACTCAGAACTGTGTGGCATACAAATGCATGAGTAACTGAGCAAAAATGAGCAGTGTTCCACTAGTGCTAACAGCCCCTTATAAGTCTAAACATGCTTTTCCGCAGGCCACCAGTGAACTGTGGCGAAGGTAACTCAAGCAGAATTAGAAGCAATACCAAATAATTTTATAACTGCTACAGCACACCACTTTCCGCCCTTTTTCTTTTGTTTTTTTTTTTCACCGTGGGGTTAGGTGCTGCTTCAGCTCTCTTTCAAGACGCATTTGACCAGGTAAAGTAACAATAGCGCGTGCCCGTTGGCCTGGCGACGATAACGGATATCTATCGCCAGGACTATGGCAGGGACAACGCAACTTCAAGACAAAAATAAATGTTTTATGTGCCGTTGCTAAGGCAATCAACGTGGTCGCTGGCAATGTTGGTGCCGCAGCACATAAAGCTTGTCCGCATGAAGAAAATGCAGCATACGCTTGCAGCTTTAGTTCTTAACAAGCCATAGCCGTATTTTCAGGCTGGGAAATGAAGCATTGATGGCTACAGCAACACATTTTTGTATTGAAGTTCCATCGTCCCGCTGATTGATATTCGCTGTGGTCAGCGAACTGATGGGCGCTCAGTGTTGTTACTTTATTTGGTCGATCGTGTCTTGCGAGCATAGGGCGGGTGCCCAGAATGCTTTAAGTATATTCTAGGCACTACAGTTCAGGTATGCGCGCTTTGACTGATGATGGAAGCTGCAGGTGACCGACATGGCCTGCATTTCTCGTCAAAATCAGTGCACCAGAAAAAAATTTTGAGGGTGGCTGAGGATTTTAGTGCAGCGTGGCGCAATTTCAGCAAATTTCACTGGTTTTGGCACAGCTTGGCACAATTACCGGGCATTGTATAACATTGGCACAGTCGGTGCAGCTGTTGCACCCCTGAATAATGCATAGAGAATGAGAGGAATTTCACACTACAATGTCAAAAAAAAATGCAGACATTTTTTTCTCTGTGTCCAAGCAATTCTGCAAAAATACTGGTGTCACCTAAATTAAATATGTGCACCAAAAAGCTGTGTAACTATGCTCAATGTTTTCTAGGTTTTAATTACTTAAAATATGGCATTTAAAATGAATGTTCTTCAAGCTCAAAGTCAAGGTTTTCGTATGCCAACAGGTATTGGCTGTAATGTGTGCAAAATGATAAATTGATGATAAACTAGAACTTTGGTTAGAAAAATAAGGTGCATCTGATAGCATGTGCTGTACCACTTTATAGGAGATGGGGGCTTTGGCTGTCGGGTGAGGCAGGTTTTCCAAGGTGTTCCCAGATCACCATGCAGTGACAGCTTTTCAATGTTCGCAGCCATGTGCACAGTCACATTCTCGGGCCGTGTCAAGAACTCTTTAACCTCTGTCAGGTTTTTTATCACCTACCAAGAAAAGCATCAGAAAGAACACAGAATCAATGAAAACTATTGCTTCTTGAACTCAACAAGGTTTTAAAATGATAAAGCCATGGCTATAGAATTCAAAAGAATGCTAAAAACAAATACATGTGGACTGTTACATGTGAACTGTTACATGTGAATACATGAATACATGTGAACTGTTACAGGGCCATTCTAGGAACCACATGCCACTTACTTTATGTTAGAAAAAATGGTTACATTATGAGAAAACTGTACTTGCAGTTACATGCCCTAAGCACAATCCTAAACACCTGCCGTCAAGTGAGGAATGTTGACATTGCAATCACCATTACCTTTCTTTAGGACCTGCTGACTCGAATGTCCCGGAATCTAATCCCAGTCGCAGTTCGACGGAGGCATAATGCTAGAGGCAAGTGTGCTTAGGTTTAGGTGCACGTTTATGACCCAGAAGTGACTGCATATATAAAACAACAATAACTATTATCTAATTAATCCTTTATTATCAGACAGCTGGTGTTATAACTTCTTCCCTAAAATGAAAAAGCATGGTTGGAGACAGAGCTGACCTCACATAGATGCAGCATTTTCCCTTACTAGCAGAACTACCCAAAAATGAAACTACTAAAGCAGTGCATGCGGAGCTGGGCAAAAAACAAAAATTTTGCTACCACCCACTTCAATATCGAGGTAAGGTCAGACAGTTCTTTTAAAGATGATAGTCTTTCTTGGGGACCTTCCACACAAAAATTTTGGTCTGTCTGTTTGTCTGTATCTGTACATGTGTCTGTTTGTCCACCCTTAACAGTACTCTAAACAGCACCAAAGTGACCAAACGATACTCCAAACGGCCGACCCCATCCGCAGGGCCCACTAATGTTGCTGAAGGTTTAGCGTTCATCCTTGCGCAATTGTCCATTTAAAAGCAATTATTGCACGTGTCTGGGGCACCATAACATCACGTATATATTCTACATGTGCGTCTTTTACAAGAAAAGGCATACATAAGTAATCTTAAGGACCGAAGTGCTTATCACGCGGCACTGACCATGCAACGCTTGCATGAAAAGGTGAGTGTTTCCAACGCTTTGCTAAGACGAGATGGTGGTGGCACCTACCCGTCGCTTTGCGTTCTACACCTTATCACCTCTGAGACGGGCCCGCACACCTGTCTCAGGGCCACGTGCTTTGTTTTCCAAAAAAAACTGCCAGATGACGCTCATGTCTCACATGTGACATGATTCGATGCGTTCGTTCGCCTCCGCTGCATGCTCGAGGCACTCTGCAGCGCCTCCAGAATACCATTCACCAATTTTCTTGCGCAGAACATCAAATAAATGTTTTCTGCAGTGCCTCTAGAATACCATTCACCAATTTTCTTGCGCAGAATATCAAATAAATGTTTTGTTCATTCTCTCCACTCACAAGACTATCGTCTTTCGACGACAATTGCAGATTAACATGCATATACGGGGCCAATTTTTTTTCCTATAATCAACCAGAAATGTAAAGCTGTCATGCCATCTTAGCACACATTGCAATAATCTATTTATAATGAGTCGTTGAGCACTATTGACCACATTATAGTGAAGAGGTGCTACATGATGAGAGTGTTAAGTATGAGTTGGTCCCACTGAAATTGCATATCTCACAATTAACTTCAATATTTCTCTCAATTACTAAAGCACTGCTTTGTGATGGTACTGACATTTTAGACCTTTTCGAGAATTGGCCTCACACAATTAACTTCAATATTTCTCTCAATTACTAAAGCACTGCTTTGTGATGATACTGACATTTTAGACCTTTTCAAGAATTGGCCTGTCATTCTCACATAACACTCTATTCTCCTTTTGCGTTACTTTAAAAAGGGTGAAGCAAAAGTGGAGCTACACTCACCTTGGTTGGATCTGCTTTCAGCTGTTGCAGCACTTCATGCAAGAAGGTCTGCTGGCGCAGCATACTGCCAGCGGTATTATTACTTTCCGGCCGAAAGGTAAGTATCCTTATGAGTGTTCCAGTTATCTTTATTCCCGATCGCTTCTTCTTGACCACATCCTTGACCATCTTGTTGGCAACAACTTGGATCCGTTCTGCCTCAAAATCTATACCTGTCAGCAAGTCATGCACCCACTGCACACCTCGGAAATACTTCTCACGGTCTAGCTGAAATACATAAGAGAGTAAAGAGAAAGCAGATTTCAGTTGACAATTAGTTAAAACAGGCAATTGGGAAACTGCATTGGGAAACTGCTTCCACTAGATGCGAAGCCTCCACTACTTCACACACACTTGTAATTACATAGTGCTGGTATCAACACTAGTAAACCAGCAAGAAGGGGAAGATGGACACAAAAGAAAACGGGACACAGATAGATTACTTACATTAACTCCCAAGCACAACACGACCCCTAATGGAAATGTGAATATGGGCAGTTAAAAAAGGTGCCAAAATATATTTTATGACTGTACACAAATGACTTCATTCAACTTGTGGTTGTCTTTGCAAATACCAAAAGCTAACTTCATGACAACTTTTGTTAACCGTGCCCTTCATAAATGAATTGTTAACATTCCTTTAGCTGATCGCACTTCAGCATGCATTCATGCCTCTGTCTGTCCTCCTTGCGCAGATAATTTAAGTGGCATCCTGTGTGACGTCAGTAATACTTCAAAAATGACAGTGCACAAAAGTTTTTCGGCTGTACATGCCCCGTCTGCAAAATCGGCACGGTGGTGTGGGTCCACAAAAGGAGGGATAGGTGGGTGCATTGAAGTGGAGAAAATGAGATGTTGAGGAAAGAATCAGTTTGGCACATTGAGAGCATTAGCATGGCAAAACAAGGCCATCTAGAGCAAAGTTTACATAGTATTTAGCAGTGCAGATTACAGAATACAACTAGGTTAATTTGGAAACAGCAATATTTTTTTAATTAAAAACTCTACCGGTCACTTTTGCTTTGCACCTAGTAATTTGTTTGAGGGTCTTCAGCAATGATGTATTATTCACCCATTGACATACTCCATGTTTGTAAACACGGTAGGCACTGTCAATATAGAAAGGGGCTCTTCTAGCCTCGAGACGGCACATTGGCTTCGCCCAGCCTTCCCCAAATGAAAGCTCACTACAGTCTTCTATGATCACGTGACAACTGCCGTAGCAGGTGCAAAAGCTGCCTCCAAGCTACGTATGTTAGTGCGCCTACCGTATGTTTACAAGTGGCAACCATAGCAGACGAAGTTGCAGTGGAGAGGCTCTCTAATGAACATACGAGTCATGTTGACATGTAGACCGGGTTCTGGGAACCTCATCAAAATATGAGATATCTTAACGGTGGGAATGTAACTCATTTGCAAAATGTAATCGCTGTTGTAGCAGTCAAAGACACACGAGTACATTCTACCGTGTTAAGGGGGGACATGAGTCTTTAAAATTTTTTTCTGTTTTTGGCTCAATCTTGACCAAACCTCACCATCTTGGACAGTTTTTCATGCTGATTTCAAATATGTAATTGTTTCTGAAATAGCTTCAGTGGATAAAAAGATATTAACATCTGTAATTTAATTATTTATGCACTTCATTGGGGGCTTTTTGGCAACTTAATCAAGCCAGATCCAAAAAATAAATGCATAGCCCCAATGCTGAGGGCTTTCTGTATGGGGTGATGCTATCTTTATTAATTTTTAGGCATTATATAGATAAGAAAACACACCAGCACTTACAAAGAATATTCTGTTCAATTTTCGCTCATTACTATCCATAATTGTAATTAACACTATGCTTCTAGAGTATTCAAAATAGCATCACACCATAGGTAATGTTATTACAAATAAAATGATACCAAGTTTGTCATTCTCAATCAACAGTAACATATAAGAAAAACCCCTAAGGTTTAGTGTGGTGCACAAAAACATCGAACTGAGAAAAACACATTTAAAGTTTCTAATAACTGTAACTTTTGCTAAAGTGAAGCTAGAGCAATAAAAATGGCACCGTTGTATAGCTCTACATTATGTGAATATGGCTGTACCAAATGTGTCAATGCACCTTCCCAAAATATTTGCCACAGCTCATTTAAAAACTGTGTACTGGCCGTTGAATCAGTATAAGGAACCCAGTCTACAACTTTGTGGCTGTTCTAGTGCACTGAAAACCAAAGGAAGACACATGTTATATATAAAAACATCGCCCTTTTATACATAAAACACTATTTCAAGTAAAACACACATTTTTGTCCCAGACATCCTTACAATTCTACAGCATGCCAGGGCTGTATGCAGTGTCTCTTGCAGGCTTATGTCGCTTTGCAAGTGTTGCCTTTGTTGAACTGCTCTGCAGGTGCTCCCTCCGCGATTTGTGAAGCCTGGTTTTATCCTTTTCAAGGCTACGACGCATGAAGAGATTTCCTGCACTGTAGCCTAGCTTCTCAGCAATTGCTTCATTGCTCTTCGTGGCCCCCTGATTAAAGCGGCTGATGGCTTCAGCCACTGCTCTTTCTACGCTGCGCAGTGAGGCATGGGTGGTCTTGAGACTTGTTGCCAAATTGTAGTGTGTAAGCTCTCACTAGGATTCTGGGTGATCCCATCACTGCACCTTTCCAACAATGCTTTGTCGCTAAGCCTCATAAACACAGGCTCTAGTGCCTCACAGACGAAATCGGGCAGGCTGTTCTTGTGCGGTGGAGGCACCTCACTATTGGCTATGGCCCTGTTGAACTTGCACCATGAATCTGTTCCCTCAGGGCAGAGGTCATGTTTGGGTGCCTCGTCTGTTGATGACATGTGCCTTAGTGTGGCCAGCACAGCCTTTTTCATGCCTGGCACATCACTCTTGTGGCTCCTCAAGGCATAACCATAGTAAGAGGTAATTTTCTTTATTTTGTCTTGAGTGAGCCTACCTTTTCCACCAAGTGACCCACCTTGAGCTTTTTTCTTTTCGATGAGCGTTCGTAAGGCAGCCCCCATTCGTTTGTGCACATGGTTGATGCAGTCTTTTTTTTTCAACTTTTATGTATCCGTAAACTTCATCTTCAGTGAGGGCATGAAAGGTTCGGCTATCACCATCTGAAAGCATTGTTGTGTACCGAAGCTTATGCTTTTCTAAGGAGCGTCGGAAGAGGCGTAGGGCTGCTTCTACTTCCATCTGGCCAGCCTTGCAGTCAACATTTTTCTGGCACACAGGGGCGTGCTGGACGAGCCAAGCAGCGTGTCCCTCCTCATCTTCCTTTGGTCCAGTGGCGCAGCCCAGGCAAAAGTTTGAAAGTACAACGTGATAAATAACTAAACCAGTGTACATTTCAATTATACAACCAACACAGATATGGGAGCTGTGTCCACGGGTAAGCCACGTGCCATCATAAATGACGTCGACGTTGCCCGGTGGATTGCCAAACTCCGCATAGAGTTCTTTGACGCGGGCAACGCTAGTGGATTCGCATTCGGCAGCAGTCGCACCGCAGGCTTCCCGCATGATTTTCATGTGGCTTTGATATGTTTTCTCGTGAAGCCCTCGATGCGAAATATTCATCGCGGCAAAGAAGTCCGTCAGAGCTGTTGCCCCTTTGCCGATAGTATTCATCGCTTTCATGGCACGCAAATTCTCTTCAAAAGGCCTTACTTTGGCCTGGCTATTTTCGGCAACTCTCGGTGAAGAAAACCGTTCTTCGCGAAAGTCGCAACTGCTGCATCCGAGCACGAGTTTTGAGCACAGCCCATAGTCTCTTTTTCCCTTGGAGAAAGTCATACTTTTTGAGCCGCACTCGGGGCAGGGGAGAAGTCCAAATAGCGAGTCTATCGCTTCTACATCAACAATGGCAAATTGCGTGCCGTTTTCTTTGTCGTCGCCCTCCAGCTGAACGTCCAGCAGCTCAAATTTTCGTGCTGTCGCGCACTGCGATGCCAGGGACTCTTTTAAATTCGCCACATGTATGGAGCACTCGGCGAACTCGTCCGCAGAGTAAAACGTTGTGTCGACACGACCTTGAATGGTTCCGGCAGTGCCAGATGACGATCCGCTGACGTGATGATCCGACGAAGTGCTGCAGCTGGGCCGAATAGAGCGCACCGCTTCGGCAGGCATTCGCGCCAGCGAATCGTCGTCTGAATGTGCTGCCTCCGCAATAACAGGCATTTCCGACAGCCCGTTGTCGTCAGAATGCGCTGCCCCAGCCATCTCCGGCATTCTCGGCGGCGCGCAGGCCGCTCCCTTCTGCCGCGCATTCCACGCTCGCTTTCATTTCCTGCCGAAAGCTTGACGAGTGTTCTTCTTCAGGCAAGCTTCCCAAGCCATGCCGGCGAAATGCAGAAAGACGTATTCGTCGGCGACGTCGGTACACTAGCGGGTAACAGACGAGATAACACACACGAGAGCAGGCGCCGACGGAGCAAAACCAAACAAACAAAAAAAAAGAGCGAGCAACCGTGGCCGCGCCGCCGCGCCAGCCAATGGTAAGCGCGAGACGGGGGGGCTTGCCGGCGCGCGCGCGCTCTAGCCAATCAGCGGTTCGGCAGACGGCTTTGCAAAACGGGGGAGGGCAGTCGTTCTGTTGGAGCTAAGCCATTTTGAGAGCCCGCAAAACACGCACAAAGGAACCAGCTTCAAAACAAGCCCAAGATGGCGCCGATCCGCCGGCTGCTTCTATTTTCTGTTTTGCGGGTTGTTTTGCGACTCCCGTGATGGTTTGAAAATAGATTTTAACCTATTTTTTTATCGAATTTAGCGTTAATAATTTGACGAGAGGTGCTTATAGGTTCAAAGATTCAAAAATGCGTTTTTCTCAAAATCGATTTTTTGGCCATTTTTCACTTTTCTAAGACCCGCGTCCCCCCTTAACTGATGCTAGAATGAGTGACCCAGTTCAGCAAGAGTCTTTTTGGTACGATATGAAAATGCACGGAGTAAAAATACATGGTAAATTGTTACGGTAAATCATCCCATATAACAAATATACCGTGGAAGTTTTTATTGCAAAAGACAAGGGTGATGTCGGCGACACTGTCATTCGTAATACTCCAGCGATAATGCTTTAACTACATGCAGTGATGCTACTGGCTTAGGCTGCTTTAGAGCAGCTTTTGAAGCAGACAAAACTGTGTTTTGGAGCAGCAAAACTGGCTTTCAGAGCAGATATTACTAGAGTTAATTTTAAGGCCCCTATGGTGTTCAC